GGAGAGTAAACACTAGGAAAATGTGGAGTACTGAATACTATAATAAGAATGAACTTGTTGAAGGATTCATCTGCCCTTCCATCTGTTATAGAGAAAGAAATGATGGACTGTACTTTTATCTGGCTTACTACTGTATATCTGTTGGTGCAGTAATGGGTGTTGACAAGTAAAGATTAAAAATATGATAAATCTTGCTCTACTTTGATATAGAGACAAAGGTGCTTAGCACAGTACAGGACAAGGATAGAAGAAAGAATGTGTTAGGGAATAAATAGATACCAGTATATTAACCCCTTGTGTACAGGATCCCCTCTGAGTTGAATAAAATTATCTGGCGATAGCCAACTAAAATATTAAGATTGGCTTTTCCTTAGTGAAGGAGTTAATAGATGGGCTGTATTCAGGATGCAAATACAGTATTAGTTGTAACTTATTTCATTACGCTCATTTAAAGAATATTATGTCAATGAGTTTCCTATAAAACTAGAGCAAATTGAAGCTAACTTAAAATTGCTTATTTGTTTTACAGATGTTACTGTACTGTGCTTTGTAAAATACGAGTATATCCATCTATCTCATGACTCGGACTTTAATATGACAATAATTTTTTATTATAGTATAGAACATAGCGGTGCTCAAGGATTGAAAGTTGTTGTTTAGGCTATAGTTATACTAGTAGTAGAAATACCGCACCTTAGTATCAGGGGTTCAGTGTTAGTACGATGTAGTTTTTGGACACCTTTTTAAGTGTACATGTGTTTGTGTGTGTGTGTGTGTGTAATAAACACACACACACACACACACAGGTTATAAAAACAATAGTGTGCTAACTTTGAACCTCTGATTTAAACTCTTGATAATACGTGATGAAGACTTAAGCAGATGCTTACTAGTTCCTCATAACCTCTGTGTTGGGTTCATGCAGCTGAGCTTACATCTCATTTGTGGACTGAAATAAATTTTGACTAGAGTTCCTTGATTGAGTGCATGTGCAAATCAGGTAGCAATTAATATCGGATTCATTTGTAAATGTTAGAACTTTCTAAGAAATGTATTGGTATGATTTTTATCAACTAGAGACCTTGTGTGGATGTGCAGGGTGTCTCATTGGTCATGCACCATAAAAAAGTTATTGTTCCACTTTTTTCTCAAGTCAGGGAATCATAGGAAATCAATGAATGCCTGGGTTTTGTTGATTAAATTATTTTGCAACTGGCTCTCTCTACTTGAGTATGAAACTAACTCTTTCCTCAAGTGTTTATTTCTTCACTGATATGTTGGGATTCCCTTACCTGAGAAAAGAGGAGAGCATTACTGTAATTTTCTTATGGTGTGTGACCTATGAGACACCTTGTACAGTCAGGAGGAGAGGTCTTTGTATAATGATTACAAGAAGTCCATAGATGGGATCATATGTAGTTCCTGCATTAGCATACCAACAGGCTTATGTCTTTTGTAACATTCCCTGATTGGCACAAAATATGACAAAATCAGAACAGTACAAAAAATATATTTTTCCTTGTAGTCATTTTTTATGAGTTACGTGCAATATAGTATTTGTCTTTACCACACATGTGAAAATAATACCTTTGTGATTGTGATATTTTTTATTATTGTGTAATAATTGTATGCTCTCAACAATGTGTTAAATGAATCATTTGTAATAAATTTCTTTAAACCAATTACTGCTTGATAATTTGTTTGAACCGTTGTGTGTCAAGATGTTCATAGTCTCTGTGGAAGCATAAATCACTAGATTCAGCTGGGAATCTTTAACGCAGCCCCTAATCAATGTATGTTTATTCATCTAGCTCTGGTAGATAGGATTCAGGAACTCAGGTGAGAACAGTGCAGTATTGAGCAACCTCTAAAAGCTATATATATAACCCCATGCAGAAGGTACTGTATGCCCCTATTCCTCCTTCATGACACACTATAAACAAAGCAACATACGCTCTGAGGTTGGGTGAATTTCCATTGTAAATTTTGTAGTAATGTCATTTGAAGACAGTCTCAGTCATACAGAACCCTAAAAAATGACATCATTATTATCAACGTTTTATGACCATCTTCCATGTGTGTGTGTGTGGCTTTGGTTTACCACGATGACCTAAAGGCAGCTGGTGGGTAAAACAAGACCAGGTTCCCCTACACACCACTGGAAACTAAAGTACATGTACATAATAGATATGTGTTACTGCAAACTGACTCAAACATTGCTAATGTGTTATTTTGAAGACGACAATAATTCCTGAAAGAATACAGTACACCATCATTGAAATTTGACAAACAAAAGAATTCAAAATACAAAATAAACTTACCGATTTTAATAGTATTACTTTAATCGTGTTTGAATATAGAGAACCAAGTTTAATATACATATTGCTTATACTGTTTAAGACCAAATGGGTAATCGGGAGTAATGTTATAGTTAAGATAATTATCACTATGTTAAAGGCATATATTAACATCCTTCATTAGGGAGAGACATAATAACTGTAGTCAATATATTACGATCATGGCCATAAAACCAGCTGGGTGGAGTCAGGGTTGATGTTGGAATCCCATTATTCTTATTACAAGAATTAATTTATGAAATGAAGACATAAACATCCCTTTTTATCCACAACAACCTAACCTATCTCTTCTCACCTGCTGATTACAGGGGAATACCGAGTCCTGTGCGTGTGCTTGTGTAGGTGTGAGTGACGTCATGATGTTAACAAAATGTAGGCGTTGGGGTCAAAGCGTTAACAGTGGAGCTTGAGCCATCAAGAAGACGGTTTGTGGAGGTCTGCTTATACTGTATATCACCGACTGTCTCTCCTCCGGTAAGTGTTTTTCTGATATACTGAAGAAAACTTATCAAACCGTAAGAGTTTTTTCAGTAATTATATGAATTGTTTTTGAAAGTATAGTACATTTTGTACTTCACTATTTAGAATAGGTGAAGAGCTTGTTGTTCTCTGTGAAGCTTCAGAGCTATGATTCGAAGCATTAAGTTCAGTATAAATTTACAGTTGAATTATAAAAAAGAATAAACATTTTAGAACTTAGACCATCTAAATATGATGGAAAGATTAGTAAAACTGCAACTGTTTAGGTATCTAGTATTTTTGTATAAGAATATTGTTCACTTAATCTGTCTTCTGCTTCGAGTTGGTCGACCCTTCCCTCTACCTGGGATGGTTTGTGAAGTGGTTGAGTCTCATGAAGGCTGGATCTCGCATTGAAAGTCAGGTCTCATAATCACTTTATTGCTGTAAGACTTATAATTTCTTTTTATTTAGTGATAATATAACAGCAGTAATACAGAAGTCAGGACCGTTTCCCAACCTTCCTCACCCAACAATGTACTGTCCCTTATTCTCTTTGCCACTGATCGGTTCGTAAACTGCTTGGGCGGTCGGTTACGTCTCTGTTACGCTCTGTTGACAAGTACTGAACATGTACTGGATCCAGAATGTATCTGCGCCAGTGTTGCAAAGTCTGTGGTCTTGAAGCAGGTCACGTGACACTCGGTAACGTCACAACACTCTTTGGCAGATTGTTCCAAGTGTTCACAGTACTCACTCCGAAAAAGTTTGCCCTCACAATTTTCTGGACTTGTGGCTTCTTCAACTTTGAGCTGTGACCCCTGGCGTCCGCCAGCTACTGGAATGGACATTCGATCGAGTAGTGCCCTCTGAGATGTTTATAAACAACAATTAGGTCACCTCTTGTTAGTCTGTAGTATAAGCTAGGTAGTTGCAGGCGTTCTAATCTCTTTGGGTTACTGAAGTGCCGAAGTGCAGGCACCAGACTGGTGGCCCTCCTTTGGACATTTTCGATCAACTGACACCTTGAGATTGTGTCAAGCAAGAGCGTCCCTGCATAAATCATTTTGGCAGTCCTTCACAAGGCTGGTTCGTAGTAGTTCCACCATTCAATGGCAAATTATTCATCCTCTATAGATGTCGACCCTTAACATTACGGCTTTAGTAATTTGTGTACGTAGTAAAACCAAAATAAGTTATACTTTTTCTTTGTAATTCAAGTTGTGTACTGAGGACTGAATGTCTTGCTGTACTGTAGGTGTGTGTTTACTGTTGTGGTGAAATCAACACTGGACACAATGACTCGCACCGCAGTGCTGATGCTGGTGGTTGTGGCGGTGGTGGCAACAGCATCCCAGACTAAGCAAACAATTCCTGGTAAGTCTTACTAATGTTAAAGTTCCGTTCAGCATAACTGCAAATACGTGTGACTCTGTGTATGTTCGTGTGAATCTGTGTGCATGTGTGTCTGTGTATGTGCGTCTGTGTTTATGCAATGTGTACGTATTTCTTGGGTCTAGGACAACTGGCCGCCGCCATCTGGCCGCAGCCCAACTGGCCGCGGGAAACTCGCCGCGGCCGACTGGCCGCCATATGGAACTTTTTGTTGACAAAATTGATGAAAGTGTGATAAAAAAAAGAGGATTAAAATTTCTTTATGAAGTACTTTATTGGAATAAAATAATAAAAGATACATATGCAAAAATCTATGAAAAGTTATGTTGTTAGTAAAATTATTGTTGGTAAAAAATAAGCATGCTAAAATGTCTTTATTGATTAAAAAAAAACAAGATTCAACTGCAAAAATCTATGAAAAGTTATGGGCAATTCCCCTAAGATATTCTACAAGATTTCGACTCTCAAATGTACTGACAATTGCTTTAATTCTTTCATCTGCTTGTCTGTATTTTAGCTGCTCGTAATATAGGTCTCTTCCACGTTGGACTGTTTTCAAACCATCAATAAATTTCCAAACAGTAGGATGTTGCATTCCAAGTTCATTTTGCAGTCTTCGATGAGCAGCTTCTGCGTGATTGTTTGTCCTGTCTTCGTCATTTAAGGAGCGTTCATAAACGTTCCACATTTCCTGTGGAAAAAGTGGTGCACGTCTGCCATTACCCCCAGTCCGCGGCGGCCAGTCGGCCGCGGCGAGTTTCCCGCGGTCAGTTGGGCTGCGGCCAGATGGCGGCGGCCAGTTGTCCCATTCCCATATAAGGCAATTGTTGCCATTTTTTGTTTTCGCCCCACTGCTGCCATTAACCACATTTAAGGCAATTGTTGCCATTTTTTGTTTTCGTCCCTCTTCTGCCATTAATCACATATAAGGCAATAATTGCCATTTTTTGTTTTCGCCCCACTGCTACCATTAATGACATATAAGGCAATTGTTGCCATTTTTTATTGTCGCCCCTCTCCTGCCATTAATCACATATAAGGTAATTGTTGCCATTTTTTGTTTTCGCAACTCTGCTGCCATTAATCACATATAAGGCAATTGTTGCCATTTTTTGTTTTCGCCCCACTGCTGCCATTAATCACATATAAGGCAATTGTTGCCATTTTTTATTGTCGCCCCTCTGCTGTCATTAATCACATATAAGGCAATTGTTGCCATTTTTTGTTTTTGCCCCACTGCTGCCATTAACCACATTTAAGGCAATTGTTGCCATTTTTTGTTTTCGTACCTCTTCTGCCATTAATCACATATAAGGCAATAATTGCCATTTTTTGTTTTCGCCCCACTGCTACCATTAATGACATATAAGGCAATTGTTGCCAATTTTTGTTGTCGCCCCTCTCCTGCCATTAATCACATATAAGGTAATTGTTGCCATTTTTTGTTTTCGCAACTCTGCTGCCATTAATCACATATAAGGCAATTGTTGCCATTTTTTGTTTTCGCCCCACTGCTGCCATTAATCACATATAAGGCAATTGTTGCCAATTTTTATTGTCGCCCCTCTGCTGCCATTAATCACATATAAGGCAATTGTTGCCATTTTTTGTTTTTGCCCCTCTGCTGCAATTAATCACATATAAGGCAATTGTTGCCTTTTTTTGTTTTCGCCACTGTGCTGCCATTAATCACATATAAGGCAATTGTTGCCATTTTTTGTTTTCGTCCCACTTCTGCCATTAATCGCATATAAGGCAATAATTGCCATTTTTTGTTTTCGCCCCACTGCTGCCATTAATCACATATAAGGCAATTGTTGCCATTTTTTGTTTTCGCCCCACTGCTGCCATTAATCACATATAAGGCAATTGTTGCCATTTTTTATTGTCGCCCCTATGCTGCCATTTATCACATATAAGGCAATTGTTGCCATTTTTTATTGTCGCCCCTCTGCTGCCATTAATCACACATAAGGCAATTGTTTCCATTTTTTATTGTTGCCCCTCTGCTGCCATTATTCACATATAAGGCAATTGTTGCCATTTTTTATTGTCGCCCTTCTGCTGCCATTAATCACATATAAGGCAATTGTTGCCATTTTTTGTTTTCGCCCCTCTGCTGCCATTAATCACATATAAGGCAATTGTTGCCATTTTTTGTTTTCGCCCCTCTGCTGCCATTAATCACATATAAGGCAATTGTTGCTATTTTTTTTCGCCCCTGCTGCCATTAATAATCGCATTTTCGCCCCTCTGCTGCATTAATCACATATAAGGCAATGTTGCCATTTTTTGTTTTCGCCCCACTGCTGCCATTAATCACATATAAGGCAATTGTTGCCATTTTTTGTTTTCGTCCCTCTGCCACCGTTAATCGCATATAAGGCAATTGTTGCCATTTTTTGTTTTCGTCCCTCTTCTGCCATTAATCACAGATAAGGCAATAATTGCCATTTTTTGTTTTCGCCCCACTGCTGCCATTAATCACATATAAGGCAATTGTTGCCATTTTTTGTTTTCGCCCCACTGCTGCCATTAATCACATATAAGGCAATTGCTGCCATTTTTTATTGTCGCCCCTCTGCTGCCATTAATCACTTATAAGGCAATTGTTGCCATTTTTTGTTTTCGCCCCTCTGCTGCCATTAATCATATATAAGGCAATTGTTGCCATTTTTTGTTTTCGCCTCTCTACTGCCATTATTCCCATAGAAGGCAATTGTTGCCATTTTTTGCTTTCGCCCCACTGCTGCCATTAATCACATATAAGGCAATTGTTGCCATTTTTGTTTTCGCCCCACTGCTGCCATTAATCACATATAAGGCAATTGTTGCCATTTTTTATTGTCGCCCCTCTGCTGCCATTATTCACATATAAGGCAATTGCTGCCATTTTTTATTGTCGCCCCTCTCCTGCCATTAATCACATATAAGGCAATTGTTGCCATTTTTTGTTTACGCACCACTGCTGCCACTAATCACATTTAAGGCAAGTGTTGCCATTTTTTGTTTTCGCCCCACTACTGCCATTAATCACATATAAGGCAATTGTTGCTATTTTTTGTTTTCGCCCCATTGCTGCCATTAATCACATATAAGGCAATTGTTGCCGTTTTTCGTTTTCGCCCCACTGCTACCATTAATCACATTTAAGGCAATTGTTGCCATTTTTTGTTTTCGTCCCTTTGCTGCCATTAATAGCATATAAGGCAATTGTTGCCATTTTTTGTTTTCGCCCCACTGCTGCCATTAATCGCATATAAGGCAATTGTTGCCATTTTTTGTTTTCGCCCCTCTGCTGCCATTAATCACATATGATGCAATTGTTGCCATTTTGTTTTTCGTCCCTCTGCTGCCGTTAATCACATATAAGGCAATTGTTGTCATTTTTTGTTTTCGTCCCTCTGCTGCGGTTAATAGCATATAAAGCAATTGTTGCCATTTTTTGTTTTCGGCCCACTGCTGCCATTAATCACATGTAAGGCAATTGTTGCCAGTTTTTGTTTTCGCCCCTCTGCTGCCGTTAATCATATAAAAGGGAATTGTTGCCATTTTTTGTTTTCGCCCCACTGATGCCATTAATCACATAAAAGGCATTTGTTGCCATTTTTTGTTTTCGCCCCACTGCTGCCATTAGTCACATATAAGGCAATTGTTGCCATTTTGTGTTTTCGTCCCACTGCTGCCATTAATCATATATAAGGCAATTGTTGCCATTTTTTTACGCCCCACTGCTGCCATTAATCACATATAAGGCAATTGTTGTCATTTTTTTTCGTCCCTATGCTGCCGTTAATCGCATATAAGGCAATTGTTGCCATTTTTTGTTTTCGCCCAATTGCTGCCAATAATTACATATAAGGCAATTGTTGCCATTTTTTTCGCTCCACTCCTGCCATTAATCACATATAAGGCAATTGTTGCCATTTTTTGTTTTCACCCCACTGTTGCCATTATTCACATATAAGGCAATTGCTGCCATTTTTTGTTTTCGCCCCACTGCTGCCATTTATCACATATTAGGCAATTGTTGCCATTTTTTGTTTTCGCCCTATTGCTGCCATTAATCACATATAAGGCAATTGTTGCCTTTTTTTCGCTCCACTCCTGCCATTAATCACATATAAGGCAATTGTTGCCATTTTTTGTTTTCGCCCCACTGCTACCATTAATGACATATAAGGCAATTGTTGCCATTTCTTGTTTTCGTCCCTCTACTGCCGTTAATCGCATCTAAGGCAATTGTTGCCATTTTTTGTTTTCGCCCCACTGCTGCCATAAATCACATATAAGGCAATTGTTGCCATTTTTTGTTTTCGCCCCTCTGCTGCCGTTAATCAGATATAAGGCATTTGCTGCCATTTTTTGTTTTCGCCCCACTGCTGCCATTAATCACATATAAGGCAGTTGTTGCCATTTTTTGTTTTCGCCCCACTGCTACCATTACACATACAGTATAAGGCAATTGTTGCCATTTTTCGTTTTCGTCTCTCTACTGCCGGTAATCGCATATAAGGTAATTGTTGCTATTTTTTTTTTCGCCCCACTGCTGCCATTAATCACATATAAGGCAATTGTTGCCATTTTTTATTGTCGCCCTCTACTGCATTAATCACATATAAGGCAATTGCTGCCATTTTTTGTTTTCGCCGCTCTGCTGCCATTTATCACATATTAGGCAATTGTTGCCATTTTTTGTTTTCGCCCCATTGCTGCCATTAATCACATATAAGGTAATTGTTGCCATTTTATTTCGCTCCACTGCCGCCATTAATCACATATAAGGCAATTGTTGCCATTATTTGTTTTCCCCCCACTGCTGCCATTAATGACATATAAGGCAATTATTGCCATTTTTTGTTTTCATCCCTCTGCTGCCGTTAATCACATATAAGGCAATTGTTGCCATTTTATGTTTTCGACCTACTGCTGCCATTAATCACATATAAGGCAATTGTTGCCAT